TTAACACCACTCTAACAGGAGACAGGTAAAAGCAAACTCTACAGCTAATTCAGTTCCAACATACAATGCTTGATGAAAAAGCCAGTATGTTTTATCTCTTTCTTTTTATGTATCCTAGATAATATTACTGTGCTAATCTGCACAGACAAAAAATGAGAAGATATGGGCCACAGGATTTTGACGCGTTTTGATAGATTCAGGTGAAATGACATTATCAAGAGAACTTAGCATCTACTTAGGTGCCTAAGTTTCTTTAAAGTGCTGAGCAGATCACTTCAGGGTGCTTTGAATCAACTATCAACATCCCATAAGCTAAATTCTTTCAAAAATTAGGCATCAAACTACTAGCACAGCTCAGGGGAACTGGGCTTGGGGAAAGGCTGTCTAGCACAAAACAAACTAATCAAAGCAAGAAGGAAAACTACGTACTTTGAGCGATGCCTTTGGCCTGTGCCAAGGTATTTCCTGGAAATGCTCTGTACTATGTATTTCAGTCTCACCACCTAATATCTATCTTCCAACATTCTCCCAAATGCTCAAATATGTTTTTGTCCAGTGGCACAGCATCCATAACACAGCGAGCTGTAATCTTGCAAAGACTTTGGCATGCACATAAAGCTAAGCACAGCCTCAGAGCCTTTAGTAGGACTTCTCGCTATGTGTAAAGCTAAGTACGTTCATAGGTCTTATCAGGATGGTGGCCAAAGATTATAGAGGCATCCAAGCTGGTTGAAATAGTCAAGCCTGTTCTGCGGCACGTCTATTTTAAACTTAGGTCTTCTGGTTTGTATCTTACAAGGTCTACATGTCTTAACTGATCTGCAGAACAAATTAACTTTGCAAAGTGAAAACAGTTTAGCCTTGACAAATGAATATGAACACAAAAGAGCAACTCTCCGTGGTTCACACACATCCATAATCATCACATAAAAGGCAAGGAATTGACTAAATAATACCAAGCAAGTAGCTTTACCAGTAAAACATGACAAATCACATGTGAAAGGAGTCTCTCGGATGCCAACACACAGGCAGGGTATGAACGGGGTAGTGCCCAACAATCTTAACCATAATTATCTAATTATGTAACTGGACAGAAAACCTTTTTTAATGAATAATTCTATTCTTGTTTCAATGGTATTTTTCTCAATATTCCTTGATTTAAAACTTGTTCAAAATTGTTCTAGGTTTTAAAACAAATATGACCCCATATTACAGACAACACAAGCATTTTCTTTTCACTTCTGCTTTTTTTTTTTTTTTTAGTTTTAGAAAACTAAAAACTAAAAACAAAAACTTTTCACCAAATTAACGAAGAACAGGCCATATCAGATCAACTTGAGGGTCAGTGCCTGGCTGCTAACAAAGGGACAATGATAGCTCTAACAAGCCAATTTATAACCAGGGATATTTAAAAACATTTCACAACACTTTTAAAAATATATTTTTATAATAGGTGCTATAATAGGATAATTTTATACATTTATTTGCTAAATTTAAGCCCAAGGAAAATTTAGTCCAAGAAATAAAACAGGAGGTGGATGTTCAGCTTGTTTAAGTTGCGAGCGCTCCAGCAAAATCAGAGCTGTGAGAGTTTACACTAGCTGGCAATTTGCTCCATTAAATGTGCAATTAACTCAGGAGGCTTTAAGTATAGTTCTTGTGATTTGAAGGCCTTCAAAAAGATGCTGAAACTATGACATTTTGAAAGAACCCCGATGCAGTGTTATATAAATACAGGTAAGACAGAAAAGAAGAAAATGGGAGACAGAGGAACCAAACTGACTGGAAGAAGCATCCAACAGGATGGGAGAATTTTGAAGAAATTGTTTAACTACTGAATCACAGCTTTCCTTAAGCTGTGTGCAGAATGGCCACCTCCCAAGAAAAGCCACAGAAAGGAAATATCATTAGAAAGCTTATGACTTTGTGAGCCCACCCTTACATTCAAGGCAGCAAACTGTAGCGCTGTATTGTTGAGCAGGATGTAAAGAGCCTGCCAAGCACAGCCCACAGCCCTGCTAATTAAGTGAACTGATTGTGTTTGTTTTGGAACCGTTTGCCAACAAAGGAATGTGTCACACTGATTAGTGAGAGAAGGGTATGTAATATATGTGTATTCAAACCCTGAGGAGTGCAGAACCCAGGTATTCAGTCTGTTTGCTCAAGGACTGACAAAAATGACTCTAAAGCAAATAACCTGACCAAAGAGAAACTCCAGCCCTCAAGAGGGGCCCTCCTTTTCTTTCAGCTGTATCTATCTAAGGAAGACTTATCCTTCATAAATTCCTGCTCAAGACTGTTCCAGAAACTGCTGAGAATATTTTGGAGAGAAACAATCTCTCCACCTCAAAGCTGACCCAAGAGACCATGAAGATGGAAAGGTAACAGCCAGCTGAGAACCACCTTGGAACTGTAACGGCCTCTCTGACAGCTGTCACTCCTCCCCAAAGAGCAAGAAAGGTCAGGGAAGTAGCCAGAAAAACAAATGCCAGCTCAAGAGACCCACACACACACACCCCACATAGACTTCACTTATCAAACATTCAACAGAGGGGTGAAGTTTGCAAAAGCTGTCAGATACCCAACTTCTGAATGTTTCTGTTAGGTTTAACAGCCCAGTTTGCTGGTAGCAGTGTGTTCAAAAGTGAATGAGTAACATTCGAAAGCAAGAAGGAAAAATGTGGTCTTCTGAGCTCAGCTGCTCTTCCCTCCTCAACTCAGCAGCTACAGCCAAGTATTGAGTACAAAATGTGAATATTATGCTGCAGGCAGCAATTCCAAAAAAACAGGATGGAGAAAGGGAATTGTAGTCAATTCTCACTGCACATTTTAGACTCAGAATAGTACAACTAAATCACGAACCTGAGCAAATCTGAGTTTACTCAGAGCTCTGTATGACACATAACTAACAAGGTAAGCTGAACATGTCATCAGAAGTTTCAGGTAGAACTGCAAGTCTTCACATGAACCTTTTGTGACTTTGCCATTCCATCTGCCACAGGCTACTGTGCACATCTACCTGTTTCTAACTAGCCTACTCACCTTACACCTGGGATTGCAGTGGTCAGCACACCTACCTTGGAAATCTCTCTCCTCTCTAAGAGATGGAAACAAACACAAAACCCCTCTGCCCTGCCTTCTCCATCAGCTGATGGAGCTGCACAGTAAAACACACAAGCTCCTCTGCTGGCATGACTTGCCTCCAGCCTGAAGGTGGAAAAGAGCAAAAATAGGGAACTGAAATAATGTAGAGGTGCATGTGCACACAGCAGTAATAATGAGATGAGAAAACTAACTAGGAAGGGAAATGGAAAATACTGGGGATAAAAGCAAGGTTTAGTGATAAGGAGTACAAAAGGAGTAAGTAGAATGACCTCTGACAAAATAAGGGAGAGAAATATTGGAGAACCTTTCAAGATGACTGTGTTTTAATTAAAATCATTAACAAAGACCGCTGTCTTTGGCATGACATCAACCACGACTTCACATTTGTGAAACATGAACAAAAGTCCTTTCTTGCTTCTAATTCACATAATAACAGGAACTAGAGCAGCTTCTTTTGGCTTTCACTGAACAGCTGACAAATACCATCTGATTCCAGGTTTTAAACTCTGTAATTTCAAGGTATGTCTGATCTTAGCTGAAGGGCGGGGGAACAATATACACCCAGCAATGCTTTTGTGACCAAAAATCCCCCAGACAAATCAAATGCACAAACACTTCAAGTAAAGTTGTCTTCCCAAATGCTCTTATACATTCTCATCAATCTTTCGGGAATATCTTCTATTGCCTTTTATACAGTCTCAATAGACATCTTTGTTTTATGTCATCTTCGTCTCTCTCTTTTTAACTCAGCCTATCTCACCATGCACCCTAGATACATTCTTTCTTGAAAACAGTGTATAGAGCTCAGTTGCACACCTTGTTTAGCTTATGTCCACTGCTTTGTCAATGCATTTTTTAGAATGAGAGTCTGGAAAAAGAATGTGCAAATAGTCTTTGAAACTCAGGTCAGGTTGAAAATCCCCAAAGAGCAGTCCTTGGTTACTTGTAATTTAACATCTCTGTGCACACAGGGGAATCAGATTCTTAATGAAGCCCTTTAAACAGCCTGGTCCTGGTTGTTTCCAAAAGGTGGCTCTTCAATTTTTCCCCCTCTTCAAAAGAACTTTGGAGAACAAATTAAAATGACTGTATTTGAAACAGCCAGAAAAGCACTTATATATGGAGGAATGCTGTGCTGTCAGATACACTGTCTTTCTGCTAAGTTAATTGAAAAAAAAAATCTCCTTTATTCAAAATCCAACACATTTTTGAAAATAAATAGCAAAGATGCTGCATTGCGAAGTCTGCTCCTGTTTCCTACATTTTGCTTCTAAGTTTCCCACACAGCTCCTGTCCCTGATCTGGCATCCAGCACTCTATATAATGTGAAATAAAGGTTCTTTTGTTCAGCTTAGGATTGGCATATGCTCATATTTATTTTGTAGCCACCTGAGAATACCACTGTCACTTAAAAAAAAATCATCTTGCATACATAGGCACAGAGGAGTATGCACACAGAAAGTAGAGAATTAGCCATAATATCTCATGGAGAAAACACTTCAAAATAGATGGTTATTGCTTTATAATGGACAATCCCAGTTACATCATGGGTCCAGTGACATCAGATACCAGAAAGATATCTGTGATAACTACAGAGAATCCATTTGGATTTTTAGGACACTTTGCAAACTCAGACGAGCTTTAGATAAATCACACTGAGAGATGCTACTGGGGACTCTTCCCTTTTTGAACAGCTGTTCTGAGACTTACAGGGCTTGGGGAAGTAGCTCTTCCCACCTATTTACAAGTCTGCTTGTGGTGGCTAGTAACCTAGTGCAGCTGCCCAGAAATGTGCATTACTGGGATCCAGTCTCTAGTTATTTAAACAACAGGTCACGAGGCTGAGAATCCGCAAGATGATACATGAGTCAAATGTGTAACTGGCATTACAGTACCTGCTTGTAGAAATGTCCTCGAAGGGGTAAAGGATTTCTCCATTGTTGCAAATCTCACAGATGAAACCCTTTTGACTACAAAGGCTGCAGCTGTACACGTGAGAGGTGGCAAACTTGATCACCTTCCCCAAGAAAGGAGCCAGCTTTCCTTCTATAACCTGAAATAAAGAGAGCACAACATTGAACGAACTCCAAAAAAAAAATACAATAACTCCCTGAAGGACTGAGACAATTTTTATTAATACAGAAATACAGCTAAGGGCTGCTGGTTGAAACAACAGGAAAGTTACTTCTCAACAATGATAATTCCATGAAATCACAAGTGATAACAGTAGCCAATGAACTGGCAATGATCCAAACATAAAAACCAAGTTACTATCTCTCTGTAAATCTCTATATGGCAATAACATAAAAAATAAGCAGTAATTTTAAGTACAACAATGCATTCATACACTAAGGCACAAAAAAATAGAAAGAAAAAAGTTCAAGGCTTCCATATTATCATGTATATGACAGCTATTATATTGACAATGACTGCCTTACATTTATGATTTTAATTTCTTGTTATTTTTATACAAAAACTGCAGTTTTGTCTTTGTTCCTTTTCCTCCAAGGCACAAGTTTTTTGCATATTTTTTGTAAATGGAACCCTGGCCTTCCTCCTTTCGTAGGGTTGTTTTTCCCACTGAAAACCATTAAAATACAATATTCCTCTCACTGCCAAAATGAATAAATTCTCAGATAAAAGTCTTGAATAGGAACTGTGGTTTTTTCCTTCAGTGTCCAGCTCTCAAATCAAGAAGCCTCTCACTGCCAGACAATCCTGCTAGACCATTAGAAGTGATTAGCACTCCCTGTGTTGGTGTGAAAAAACAGCCAGGCAGTATAGATTAAACTGCTAGCCACAACACTCATCTAAATTTGTGACTCAGTAACAATGCCTCAATAAGGGGTACTATTCAGGCAAAATACTTTCCATTCAGATCAAACTTCCAGAGACTTTAAGGAATTCTGCTGGTGTCGGGAATAATAAAGATGGAATAAGGCCCTAAGTGTATATTCTTCTCTCTCAGGCTTCCTGTGGTCTGAACAGCAGCCTGCCAGATTAGTGGTAGAAAAGTGCCATGGAATTTGATAGTAACCTCCTATAAAAATGAAAAATAATGCAATAATTGCTGACTGAAGGCTTGCACAGAGCTGTGCCCCAAAACCTAGGAGTTGGGAGATTTACACTTAGTGTAAACGAAACTAGAGAAAGCAAAGGTCAAGGCACAGAAGAACAACAGAGACTTTGGAAGCATTCCTCCGCTATGTAAAGTAGAAAGGGAATAAATTTGTGTTCCAAGGCAACTTCCTGTCCACGAACTGAGATAGCCACTGTAAGAGAGTACAGATGGAAAAGCAGGTGCGTAGGTAGTGTTGATGTTGATGGCACTGAATGGCATGGGCTGAAATGTGTCCCCTCTGCCTTCAGGTCTAGCGTGCTAACAACATCTGCAACAACAGGAAGTGGCAATGTTATTGCTAGTACCGCAGACAGGACATCTGCTCATGTTAGAAGGAAAAATGACATTCTTATTGCATCCTGGTATAGGAAGATCCTCGTCGACCAGAATATAAACAATGCAGAGAAGCTGCTGCATGAAATCCAAAAATGAAGGCACAGTTCAAGGTAGTGATATTACTAACCTTCTAACAGACGGCCAGAAGTTAGTTTAGCTCGCTTAGGCTGGGTTTTGTTTTTCATTTTAAAGGAAGAATTTTTTTGTTGCAGACTCCAGAGTTACAGAGGGTCTGAATGCCAAACAAGTTAGGAGTAGAGGAAAGACACACCAGCTGATAGTATTCAGTAAACAGGAGGAAAGAAACAGTGAAGCCACACAGCTACAGTTACCCTCCAAAAAGCCATTTAGCACTAATAGATGAAATACATAAACAAAGATAGCAAATAAATCACAATACATACATATTTTCCAAAGCATTTTCATGCTACAGCAGCTACCTCTGACAGGCCAGAAGAGCTCAGCTTAAAATGCCAGGCTGAAGACAGAACTGCAAACAAACTCTCTAAATCTGTACTAAGATCACTCTCAGCAAGGACTTAAGTTATATCTCCAAATTAAAAACCACATTTTATGTAACACAGTAAACAAAATTAACATAGTCTATTACCTGCCTAAGCACCAGGGGTGAATTTAAGTCTGTACCTGGCACATAAGGTTTCCTACACTGAAGAGCTCTCAACCTAAGCAAGACAGTTCTCAAGGAGCTGGGACAAGTAGTCCCTATGTATTTATTTATTTGTATGGCTCATCACAGCACCATAGTGGGTTGGCGTGTAACTCTGGCCACTGCAGACATACAATGAAGACGGTATCTTCAGAGTGCCATGCATGCCAATTTTGCAATATGAATTACAGGCCATTTTACTGTATTATAGCAGGAAGACAAAATGCAACATCAAACTGATGTATCACTATCTTTAGCATCTGTGAATTTTGTGTCATTTTGTTTCATCAGAGACCTCAGGGCTGTGCACAGGATATTACTTTTCCTTGCAGCCTTCTCTTGTTCTTGTTTGTAGCTAATAAGAATAAAATCCTCATCTCCATTTACCCTGGGAAGCAAAAAGAAAGATTTCTATTTGCTGTCCCCAAGAGAAGTTTAATGATGACTTCTCCAGTGAGTGTTTGATGGCTTAGGAAAAGGAGCATAGGACATGTAATCAAATGCGCTGAAACTCCTCCTGTGACTAAACCCTCTCTGGTGACAGCCAGAGGCCCAGGGTTGGTCAGTTTAGGCACCCCAGAACCATGATGGCAGAGTCCCAGGACGTTCTCCCAGTTGATGGTGGAATCTGATCTTGAGTTTCAAGGAAACACTAACGATTAAAGAACTGAAGTGTGCTAAACAAAGGTAATGCATTATCCAGATATCAGGGAAACCATCGTGGGGGACAGGGAAAGACCTCACAAAGCTGTCTTGGCAGAGTCAGCAAACGTATACATCATTCTTCACAGCTGTGACTGTTACTAAAGCCTTTCAATGACAGAAACTCCACATGGAGTCTATCCCAGCACACGTCTGTCCTCACTGCTGGGAGCCACTCCTAAGCTTTGACCTGAACCTTTCCTAAGGACATTTCAGTTTACAAAATAAGCTTACAAAATAAGTTTACAAAACAGAGAAACTGTGAAATCACACACTATGAGCTGCAGAACAGTCCATCATACTTCATAAAAAACATGGAAATTTAGCACAAAACAGACTAAGTTAAGCGTATGCCAAAGGATCAGAAACCAAAAATTTCACCACTGACTTATCCCTGTAATATAATACAGCCTCAATATGCACCTGCAAAGGCTTAAAAATATATTATTGTCTCTCTAAAATAAAAAAAAAAAAGAGCATCAAGCTTAACACAAAATTTTGCTGAGTTCAGACTCTCTTCCACCTACGGCTCACAGAATCATAGATCACAGAATATTAGAAGGGACCTCGAAAGATCGTCTAGTCCAACCCTAGGATCACCTAGACCAGGTCACACACGAACACGTCCAGGCAGGTTTTGAATGTCTCCAGGAAAGGAGACTCCACAACCTCTCTGGGCAGCCTGGGCCAGGACTCTGTAACCCTCACAGTAAAGATTTTCCTCATGTTCACATGGAACCTCCTATGCTCCAGCTTGCACCCATTGCCCCTTGTCCTGTCATTGGCTGTCACTGAGAAGAGCCTGGCTCCTTCCTCCTGATGCTCACCCTTTACAAATTTATAAACATGAATGAGGTCACCCCTCAGTCTCCTCTTCTCCAGGCTAAACAGACCGAGCTCCCTCAGCCGCTCCTCATAAGGGAGATGCTCCACTCCCTCCATCATCTTTGTGGCTCTGCGCTGTACTCTTTCAAGTAATTCCCTGTCCTTCTTGAACTGAGGGGCCCAGAACTGGACGCAAAGAGCAAGGCCTGATTTTTAATCCAAATTCTTTGTAATGCAAGCAATTGTTTCCTTGTCCGAAATTATGGGTGAAAGGTGACTGATGATGGCTTGCCTGTCATCAATTGATGGAGGGTGCAATGCAGTTTTCTCTTCTTAAACTGGTCAAGGAATCCATCCCAAAAGGATTCTGGACATGGGGCCATGCTCCTACAGTTAGCTTACCACTGCTGCACCTAGACTACACTGGTCACAATGGGAGAAAAATACTAGTGTTTGGAGTTCCCCAGGCAAGCTGCCTCTCTGAATGGCCCCAGTGTTCAGATCAGAATCACTGTCCACCGCTGTGGATCTGGAAAAACACTTCTCTAAGCCACCACAGGACAGAAAGCCATGGCTTTGCAATACTGCAACTCCTAACTGCATGTCTTGCATGAGGAACTGTATAAAAATACACACTCACACGAATGCACATAAAAGATAGGCCCTGCCCTCAAAGCACTTAAAATTTAAACCAACAAAACAAACACTGCTTTTGACACTTGCTGCCACATGTCTCCCACTTTAAATGGGACTCCATGTTTTGGAGGAGCCTCGTGGACAGGCTCACTGCCTGCACTGCAGAGAGCATCCCTCTGGCTAGAGCAGGGCTGCAGATGCCAGTGCTACTGGGGAGGGGAGAGGAGAAGCCAGGAGAATCAGCAGGAGCAGCAACCCGCCCCATTGCCCAGCCTCGTGCATGCATCTCAGGAAAGATGAGGTCCTGGGGAAAGATGGGGTGGTATTGGAAAGCAAAAGAGGAAGGCAGAGATTTTTCCACAGCAGTGGGAGAAACCAAAGGGGTACACAGTATCTGAACATATGCCAAAGGGGTGTTGGGACAATTATTTTAGATTATTTCAAGAACAGAAGCTTTATGTACAAGTCTAAGTTATGAATAAAAGTAAATCATACTTTTTTCTCTGTATATCTTTGTGCTACTGTTCAGCTGGGTAGCAGCATAAATCCAGAGAAAGAATTATGCTCTGTATGAGCGAGGTAGGGGGGAAATACGGAGACTGCTGAATGCTAGCAGACAAGTCAATGTTGGCAAGAGCTGGGAGAGCCTTGGGTGACAGAAAGACACGATGCATGTCCACTAGCTTATGTTTTTCCTGATTCAGCAGGAAAAAAAGACAGAGAAGATGAAAGGCAGCAGGGGCTATGGTACAAGTTGAAATCCCTT